ACCGCATAACGTGGATGAACTTGGAGGACATTATGCTGAGTGAAATAAGTCAATCACAAAAGGACAAATTCTGTATTAGTCCATTATTGTAAAAGTCAAGGAAATGCTTATCCATGGAAGGACATTTTCTTTGTTGGTTACAAGGGGTAGGAGGGTAGGGTAGGGAATACTGTTAGATAAAGTTTTGATTTGGGTGAAGAGATGGGCAATGTACCAAATGTCAGTGATCAATATAATGACACTGAGGAAAAGAAAGACATAGAGAGGTACGTGGGAAGTATAGACAACAAAGATGAACCCTTTTGCACATATAGTACGGCATGGTCAGTGAAGGCAAACACAAGTATATGGGTGGATAGATGGGTGGGTAGTGCACCCAAGAACATGAATAGGGTTGGCAGACAGTGGTCCAATAACTATGTGTATGATCCGAATTCCCAGGTGTGTAATGGGGCTGACAAGGGGCAAGGCTGTAGCACTGCTTGGTCATAGCCAGCTACCCAGAGGGACCAAGTAGTTGAACCTGTGGGCTTGGGACCATAGTCACAGAGGACATCAAGCTCAATTGGCATAACATACTACACAAAACATTGTTCCACCTCCTACTGTGGCGAGTAGTGACTGGAATCTTAAAAGCTTGCAAGCTGCCATCTAGATGCAACGATGGGTCTCTCCTCGTCAAGAGCAAAGAAGAATAAAGAAAAGCAAACATTCACGGAAACAATTAGTCCTAGCGACTGATACACCACCTGATCTGCAGCCTATACGACTATGAGACCAGAAGAACTAGATGGTGCCCGGCTATTACTATCAATCACTTGGAAGAGGATCTGTGCAGGAGATCCTGGATAAACAGGGAGAACAATGTGGAACAAAACTCAAAATCACTTGGAAAAAAAAAGGGGGAGACCAGGTTTGCTGGCCCGATAGAGCCTGGTGGAATCACTGTGACTATGGCTCCTAGCTGCCCTTCAGGTCTGGAATTAAACCCACACCTGTGGCTTCCAGTCAAACAATAGACAGGCATATGAAGTTGAATATTTACCTGAGGTAGATACACTCCTTGGAGAGAACAAGCATGGGAGAAAGAAGGGCTGCTTATGCACAGGGAGACAGCTCAGGGGGCCGGAGTACATGGAGGGATGGACACAGGGAAGAGGTAACTATCAGGAGGAGGTGAGAGGGGAGATGTTGCATTGTGGTAAATTGTGGTCAATATCATGAGACAACATGTATGTGAACTGCTGTATGGAAAGTGTATCTGCTCTGTAAATTTTCACCTAAATCACAATAAAAAGAAAAAAAAATCTGTGTGTACATGTGTATGATATAGGTGTACACAGATATCCTAATTATATCCATTGAAAGCTCTAGAAATTGTGGTCACCCCAGCAGCAATGAGCATGCCTAGTAGCCACACTGAAATAGCATTTCCTATTATAATGAACTAGGACTTCTTAAAGAAATATTGATTCCCAAAGGGAGCAAACACAAAACGAGTCTGGAATAAATGAGTCTGGAAGGTCTTGGCATACGAGATGGCAAGGAAAACATTAAAGACTACTGGAGTCATGGCAAAAGGATATAGAAGCCAACCTGCAGAAGTTCTTGCATGCCAAAGATGGAATAAAATACATTTCAGTGATGATAGTAATTGCAATGGACTAAAACACATCATAAATATTTAAATCTGTAAATGCACTAACATTAACAAAACAAAAAACAACTACTTGATCACCATCAGAGGATAACAGAACACCAATGCACCATGTTTATACTGCTAAATGAGGGGAAAAGAATCCTTCCTTTGCTGTTGTCAATGGACGTCTGTTGTTGCTGTCATGTGCATGGCGCTCTGGGTAAGCAAATATCAGATGAGGGAAAATATCTCTTTATGAAAAACCCCAACTCATAAAGGAAAATGAAATAATAAAATAAGAATTCACTTTTTTAACAATCTCAAATAAATTAGTCGATCTAGACAATGAACTGTCTACATCACAAAAGAGACAACCAGATACTGCGTGCCTCTTGGATGAAAAAATAAAACATAGCCTATAATCTTGCCAAAGGGATTGAACCTCATTCTGATCTAACCCTTGGAACCACCTACTGATTTGTGAAAAACACAGGACATGTTAAATGACACTGAATGCATTCTGTGGGAAACTGTAGGTCAAAATGCCTGGGTTCCTTCACAAATAAATTATAAGGAAAAGAAAGGGATGGGAAGAATGTATACTAGAATATCTTACAACACTTATCAAGTTAAAAAAAAAAAATTAGCAAAGCTGGACTACAGTGTCTAACAATCCATATCTAGGTGATAAAACTACAAAAAGAAACATAGGAAGTGATTACTATAAAAGTCAGAACAGTGGTTACTTTCAGGGGAAGAAACAGGGGATGACTGGATTGAGGTAAATGAAAAGACTTCTCAGGGGGTTCGTAAAATTTGATTTCTTAACCTGGGTGGTGATTACAAGGATATTTTCCTGACAATAATTTATTAAATCATAGTTTTGTGGCTTTCTGTGTCTGTGTTTTTTATTTGACAATAAGTAGTTTAAAAATAAAGGAACTCTGGTGGTGTAGTGGGTAAGGCATTTGACTACTAACCAGAAGGTCAGTGGTTCAAACCCACCAGCCACTGTGCAGAAGGAAGATGGAGCAATCTACCTCTGTAAAGATTTACAGCCTCAGAGACCCAACAGGGGTCACTAGGTGTTGGAATTGACTTGATGGTAGTGAGTAGTTTAAAAATAAGAAAAAAAGAATAATGAATATTACCACAGAGATGTAAAAGTGACAGAACTTCTAAAAATGGAAGGAAAAAAAAATCCAGTGAAATTAAAAGTAGGAAGAGCTAGAATGAAATATCCATAAGGGTAGCGATCTCTGTCCTGTTCACTGACACATTCCACACCTTTGGAACAGTGCTCAGGATACAGCAGGAGCTTAGCAAATAATTATCAAAAGAAATCTTAAGTTATACTAATTAGATTGCAAGGTCTGATGATAAGTGTTAATAAGGCTATGCTGTAATAAAAACCAGTACTCTGCTGGTGGGAAAGTAAATCAGTATAAGCATGATGGGGAAAAAAAAAGGCTTTATACAGTTAAATATGCATATACTTTATGACTCAAATTTCTTATCGCAGCATAGTATCTTAGGACAGTGTTTTGCAAACTGATCAAAATTCTGTTTAACAGAATCAACTTAATGAGTCTAAGCAGCAAGTTTTACAACTGAAATAGAACAAATAGGTTCACAGTGCATATCATCTAACAAATGTTAGATGTTTCATAAAATTTGTTTCACCTTTGTGTATGTATTGAGTTATGATGTAAAATATTTCACCCTACTATGGGTCATAGTCAAAAAAAGAGTATCAAAGCTGCTCTGGTAGTGTAGTGCCTAAGGCATCTGACTGCTAACCAGAAGAATGGCAGTTCAAACTCACTAGCCACTCCTCAGAAGGAAGACTGGGCAATCTACTTCCATAGTGATACTGCCTCAGAAACCCAAGGAGGGGTTGCTGTGAATCAATCTGACTTGATGGCAGTGAGTGAGTTCTTGCCATCAAGAGACTCACTGAATATTCACAGCAACATTTTTCATGATAGCAAAAGATGTGGAAACAGAAGAACAGATAAATTCATCATGATACATTTATGACATGAAATGCTAAAGAGCAATGGTATCGATTACCTAGAGCTACAAGCATCACCTAGGTGGCATTAGAGAAATACACCTGAGTGGAAAAAAGCCATTTAGAAGAATATATACAGTATAATTCTATGAAGAAAAAAACAAGCAAGATGATGTAATGTACTGTTTAGGGATAAAAATATTTTTGGTAAATCTATAAAGGAATTATAGAAGAAGCTGGGGGAGGGTGGGCGGACAACGAAACTGAAAAAGAGAAAAAACAAACAAAAATGTCCAGATAACAGCTATCTCTTAGTTAAGGCAGAGGTACAAACATGTAAAGCACTTTTCAAGTTTTGGTATTATACTATCTCTTAGGTTAGGGGGTAAATTTGTAATAGTTTATTATAATACTTCTTAACATATATTAAAACCCAAACAAAACCCAATGCCATCAAATTGATTCTGACTCATACTGATCCTATAGGACAGAGTAGAACTGCTCCATAGGGTTTCCAAGGCTATCAATCTTTATAGAAGCAGACTGCCTCATCTTTCTCCCACTGCGCAGCTGCTGGGTTTGAACCATCATCAACCTTTCGGTTAGTTGCCAAATACTTTAACCACTGTTATCACTAGAGTTCCTTTGTGTCACCTTCAATGTAGGCAGTACCAAATTTCCACAGATAAAGTTTAAACAGACATGAAATCCCAATCCAAAGTTACATAGTACATAAGAAAATAAACTATTGTAAGGATTTGCAGAAATAATAGAATTGGTGCCCTCAAGGACCTCAGATAATAAAACAGAAGCTGTAATAAATAAAATGTTGAAAGTGATTTAAGAACTGAAAAACATGAGAAGAAAATGACTCTAGGGTAAAAGGACAATGATTTAAAAGAGGTAAGCGAATGGAAATACAGATCTGAGAAAAGCACAATGATTTAAAAGAGAATTAGCGAATGGAAATACAGATCTGAGAAAATCACTCAGAAGAGAACACAAAGAAATAGATGGAAAATATGAAAGGTTAAGAGACAAGGAGGAAAGAAAGTCAAGTTCCAACAAATTTCCAATAGGAAGTCCAGAGGGGAAAAACAGAGGTCAGGCAGATTAAGATTATAATAATTCTAAGATTATAATAGTTCTGTTCCAGAATCAACGTAAAAAGTTAAACTATTTCTTAAAAAAAATTACATCTGAAGGAATCGAATTTCAGAAATTGAAATATCAAAATTTTATAAACAACTCACATGATTAAATCTTCTTGTGAAGGCAACTGCATTTGGTGCAGAACTATATTTTTCCTTTTTATTCCATCCACAACTTGAAAGTTCCTGAAATATTAAGGTGGAAATTAAATGTAGATTCAAGAAATTTTCTTACTATATCAAGAGTTTTATTATACTATTTCATATATATATAAGTATATACACTCTTATTATATCAAGAGTATTATATCTTATTATATCAAGAGTTTCCAAAAGTGTTTTTTTTTCCTTTTTTAGAATTACTTTGTCAGGAACATTTCTAATATAATCATTCAGTTCAATCAAGAAAAGTAAATTTTAGCAGATTATAAGAAAGCAAAATTATCTTCCATAGTAGTTATTATCATATCTAAAATTAGAAAATCAAGATAATAAGCATTTAGATATATATTTGAGGATGATTAATTGAAATGCTACATAGTAAACAGGAAGGAATTCCCATCTGCTTCCTGTGCAGTTAGTTACTTGCACTTGGCTATGAGAACATAAGATAGCATGGCTTATACTTTATAGGCAGGAGATTGGAGGATTCTTCTCTGAAGAGATTTGAATCCCAAGATCAAAGATCTACAAATAATGAAAGCTGAGTATCCCACAACATACAGTGAAGTCCACTAGTTATCAAGGCCCATTCAATGGCTAAGAGCTTGCAATCAGTGCTTCAGCTTTGAGCTGACAGCCAATGATTCCAGATATACAGATCACAGTGGTACTAGCAATACATGTGACTTGGTAACCAATTAAAAAAAAAAAACAGATATTCTCACATCGTGTTAGTTGGTGTAAACTCAAAATACCACACACACTCACCACTGTTTTGAAATTAGTCACTTATAGCTCTTACCTAATACGTAGAAACACACATGTAGCGATATCATAAAGTTTTAAAATATTTTGATAAGCATATTTTAACTGAACTGATTTCCTCTGATTTTAAAGGAAAAGTCCCATAGCCTTCAGTCTGCCAAGGTGGTCCCATGCCCAAAAATAGGTTAAGGACCCTGCTGTAATACTACAATTACCACCACAGAGAGAAAGAATCCACACTAGAGGTGTGTGTAGGGAACGCTGAGGAAAACGAATCAGAGCAGGAAACAAAAGAAAATTGTGAAAAGGAAAAGACAAAACTATATAAATATTATTACCTAGCCACTCCTTGGAAGGAAGGTTGGGCAATCTACTCCCGCAGAGATACCTCCTTGTAAACCCAAGAAGGGATTGCTATGAATCAAATCGACTCGATGGCAATGAGTTTGGTTTGGTTTGAGGTGAGAAAAGATACTGCACCCATCACTCAGAAAGAGGAGAAGTATAAAAAATATTCAGAGAACTATAGAGAGCTTTTGGAAATTAAAGATATAATAAATACATCAACAGAAAGGTTGTGAGATAAAGGTGATAAAAATCATTTAGAACAAAAAGTAAAAACAACTTCTCAAAAAAGTAATTCCAGAAAAGGCCCTAGAACTCATGGACAAAAAAGGTCTGTCCAGTTCTCAGTTATTCCTCTCCTCATCCACACCCCATCCACCCCCACACCCAGCTAAAATTAAGGCACATTATCAAGAAATTGCATGACACTGGAGATAAGATCACAAAATCTTTCACACTCAAAAACAAAACAAATGAATAGATCACATACAGTAAAATAGATCAGATCTTGGGGTATCAGACATCTTAACAACACCACCTAAGTTTTAAAAAAAATAGAAATGCTTTAAAATCCCAGAGTTCTATACCCAATAAAAAATTACAGTAGACAATGGTCATTCTCAGATATGAAAATCAGAGAATTTGCTTTCTATGCACCTATTCTCAGAGAGCTATTAGAGTATGTACTCCATCAAAACAAACTAGTCACCTAAGAAAACAAATATTGGGACTACCCAGATTGATAGTAAAGAGAGATCCTGGAACCAAGCTGTGGGCAGACCTTAAGTACAACAGCCCAGACAGGAGGAACAGAGAAGAGATTCCAAGAGAGATAGATGCCTCTGAAAGATAAAATGGAATACCTGATGTTTATGAACATACTGATAAAAGACATTCACTTCTGGCAGAAAATATAGCTAAAATGAATTATTAGCTCAAGGAATATAAAATTTGAGTAAGTAATCATTACATATGACAAGTAGTTTTTCTCTGCCTCATCTCTGTCTCTCAACCACCACTAAATCTCAATGAGAAAAACTTGCTTTTTCTTTTGTCTCTATCCCTTTTTGTCTCAGATGCTATAGTCTTCTTTCAAGTGAGAATAGAATACAATATAAGAAATAAATTCTACCACAGTGACATCTTGTATATTAACAGCTTATGTACCTGCTCAATAGTTACTTTATATAAAAACACCTCACATGAACACCAAAAAGTGGAAGTAAACTTAATAATGCAAGGATTGTTTTTTAAGGTCTGACTTAAGAATAGGACTGTTTCAAGATGAGTGTACTATGTAAATAAGCCTCCATCTTAGCAAAGGTTAAATGAAATATAGCAGCATGGTACTTCTTAAAACTTATTTCAATGGATATGACTAATACTTTTTAAATCAGGTAGTAAAGAAGAAATCTTCAAACGGTAACTGAGATATATAAAGGCAATTTCTTAATGGTCATTAAAAATGTATTTGAGAGGATATTCATGGCTTAATTTTGAACCATGTAACTGTTAAGTCCAATTTTCTGCCAAGGTTATTTTGGAAGCAGCACATGAGAAGGCAAAACACCACAATGGATGACCACCTACCCTATGAAAGAATTACTGAATTTCACAGGAGTCACAGCTTCTCTTAGGTCTTCTAGGATTGTTCTGTAAAGTGAAATTCTTGATCTAAATTTCATCTTGTAGGTTCCAACACTCTTAAAAGTACTGTTCTAAGGGTGGTGTTGTAGGGATACCTATAGATAGAAGAAGAGAGAAGGCCAATATAGACCAGTATATAGACAGAGACTGAAGGAAGAAAAGAAAAAGCAATGGATGCAAGATACTGGGGAAAAAAAAAAATCCTAGCAAATTGAAGACAATTATTGCTGAGGTCTCTTTATGCTCAAAAGTGGAAAGCTTTAAAGGGATATAGTGTATCATTATCATTCAGCTTACATAGCTATTTAATGTCTCAGCCACAGATGAAGTGCTCACTACTATTTCTGAATTTTTAATAAACAGAAAATGCTCTGAAACCCATGTAATATGTTAAATCAAAAGCACCGCTTCCCATTTTGAATATACACACATCCTCTCCTTCTACCTCCACTCGCTATGTTAAAGCTGCTTCTATAATGAGATCTGAAGTAAAAGCAGGTGCTAACTTCTGCGACCATCGATGCCATGATAAATCTATTCACCCAAACAACAATTTTCTTCTTTACCTCCTCTAGTCCTAATTTAAGCCTTACTTTACTATACTAAGGAATAAGGAAGTTCATGGTGGTGGAACAGCAATAATATGAACTGATAAAACATCTGCATCTTGCTTCTAAAAGAATTAGTTTTTTCCAGTTTATAAGAAAAATTTCAAGTCTATACACCTTTGCAGTCTTCAAATTACTCACTATATTCTTCATGGATTGTTTACATTTTAATTCTAATGAAAATGATAATTTTCATTAAAACATAAATATGATACTCCTGATGCTGGAACTTTAGATGTTGTCAAGATCATAATTTGACATATATACAAAGAAAGTTTGCAGAGAGGACGCTCTTTATATATATTGTCAGAAATAGCTCCTGATTTTCATTTACCACTCAGTTCTAAATTTTTCAGCTATGTTTTAATAACATTCAGAACTACATATTATGTAGTTTTTTTTCCCCCTAGCTAACACAAACCTAGTGCCTAAGGCACTTGACTGCTAACCAGAAGGCTGGCGGTTCAAACCCACCAGCCACTCCTCGGAAGGAAGATGGAACAATCTACTTTCTGAGGGATTGCCTCAGAAACTCAAGGAGGGGTCGCTATGAGTTGGGTCCGACTCAACGGCACATAACAATAACAACAAGCAAGGGAGAACTATGCTTGTAGTATACAGTTCCTCCAAGCAAGGCAGAAATGATATTATATAGATTTTGAGGATGCATGGAGTTTAAGGACTGGCTGATTTTCAAAGATGAGACACCAAAGGATTGGCTGACTTTAAACTTGGTGTGTAGGGACTGGCTAACTTTGAGAAGCCAGGGTAATAAAGCATGGCTGTTACTGATTGGCTGATCTTCTTAATTGAGTATTTAAGTAGAAATGGTGGGTATAGTTTAGGAATTGATTGACTGGGGCAGATTTAAAACTGGTTCTGTGGTTACTTGTTCACAGCTTGAGACAAGAGCCAAAGAAGAAGAATCTTTTCCTTCCTTGATGATGGAGAACAGCAGGAGTACCTATTACGATCCTTCCTGCCTTAATCAGCAATCTTCCTTGCTGTCTAAGGTATCTCAGTTATGCAGAAGGACTTTATCTATTCTTTGTACTTAATGTCTGTTTATTGATAAAAATTTAAATGATTTATTTCATTGACCTATTAAAGAGCATAAAGGAGCCCTGGAGGTACAGTGGTAAAGCACAAGGCTGCTAATCAAAAGGTTGGTGGTTTGAACCCAGCAGCCGCTCCATGGGAGAAAGATGTGGTAGTCTGCTTCCATGAAGATTTATAGCCTTGGAAACTACAATGGGCAGTTCTACTTGATCTTATAGGGTTGCTAAGAGTTGGAATCAACTCAACAGCAATGGGCTTGGTTTTATCAGAGCAACTAAAGTATGGAACTTTTCTCTTATCAGACTATTTATTGTATACTCTTCTATCAGTCACTCAGACACTTGACTGATATTGCTGCAAATTGCCTGGTCACCAGCATTCTAACTGTATTTGATAATGAGCATTCTGCAGGAAGGGTTATTAAGGTTCAATCCCAAATTACCCAGGAAAATGTTCAAATTTCTAAAACAGAGCTGCATATTAAGGATAATAAAAATGTTGCAACATTTCCATTACTTACACTGTAATTTATATATAAAAGAAATACATCATTCCACTAGGCCAAGGACTAATTTTCCCTTAAGAGTAGGTTAAAATAAA